CACAAAAATGAATAATACTTCAGCAATATTACTGCACGAGGGTTTTATTCTTTTGGCGGTAAATAATTACCTAATCTACGTAATGTTTTAATATTTTCCCATGGCAATAATTCAGGTAATTTATTCACACTAGGACGTCCGTAGTAATATAACATGTTTCTCAGTACAGAATAAGCTTGACAGTTAAGAATTAAATGTATCCCATATTCTATATCATTTTTGTTGTAACACATATGGCAACCAGTTACCAACTGATATCTGTACGGCATGCTTAAAGGACATGTGTCATATTTTGTCATTCGAGGAAACTGACTTTTGTGCCTTTTTTCTCCTGTGTTTTGACAACAAAGGGGTAATCCTTACATTTTTGTCAGTCGTCATGCATGAATAATTGGTTCATAATAGAAACAGATTATTCAGGCTTGCAGGTCACCCACTACAATGTCAGATTATGTTACAGGTGGGTATGAAGTCAATGCAGCACAGTGCAATGCGATAAAACTTTGCTATTGTGTCTACACACCACTCTAGAAATCAATAGTAACAATAAATTGCATGCAACAATGCGGTACGTAGATTAATAGCCACTGTAGGCTATCGGGCAACGGTCTGCACTTTTATGTACGTATTTAATGCTAGCGATACAATAAATCCTCGTTATATTGCCACCATTTTGTACATATATTGTTTCGCGTTATAAAGGGGTTGGCAATATACAGAGAATTTGTTTAGAAAAGGTAAAGGTGACTGTTTGCGAAATGACAGTAAAACGGGGGGCATAATACTGAGATCTTACTCCATATAGAATATGAACACTTCGGAAACTGAAATCCTGGATTTTGTTCCTTTATAAGGCCTACAATAAAGACGGCGACGGATCTGAAACAACTGCGTCAGTAAAACGTTTAACACTAGCCAGTCACTATGGCGTACTGAGCCAAGATGCAATATTTTTAGAAACTCGGTTCACTCACGTTCTGAAACGCCAAAAACTTATGAAAAATCATATTTTATTACTGTTTACATTTCAAGTGTAGGCACTGAGGAACAGTTTAATGAAAAATTGATAATTTAGTGTGAGTATTACCTTGTCCACTATGATAGTAGGGCTGACACCATATTTCGTTTGTTGTTATTTACTGGGTTGACACACGGACATAAACATATAGGTTTTCATGTTTTATGTCCAAGATTTTAATAGATACTTTACTTTCTCCATGAACGTGTAAACTTAGCAATACATCACGGAATTTGTAAAATGTATGATTGCTTTCTATACATATCTAATTGTAATACGATTTCAGCATAACTTTAAAAAAAAAAAGGATAAATATCGCTCATTCTGCATTCCATGCAGTCGTTGTAAAGTTATTTATATCCTTTAAATTGCATTTTTTAAAGAAATTTTACACCGGAAGCGGCGACAATGGCGGCCTTAAAAAGGATTTCTTCGATCAGCGCATGTGGCTGGTGTATTTGACCAGCTTGCGTAAGCAAACCCTGAAAAACATGTCCGCATTCTTCAATTGTTTCGCCGTCCAGTATATTTTTTTATTTTTATTTTCATAAACATTGTACTGAATTCAGATTCTATCAACAGGACACGTTTGTATCCTTGGTAACTTTACTTCTAACACAGCACAGGGACCTGATAATCCAGACATCCAGTTTAGACCTTCGCTGATACGTATGGAGTATCATTAGACTTTTTAAGAATTTGGATCAATATCAGAAATATTTGATCACGAAAAAAAAAAAAGCCTATCTTACCGTTCTCGCTGGTAAAATATAAAGGTTTCAGCATTTTTATCGGTTAGACCTCTTAGAACCAAACCTTTTTAAGTGAACATACATTTGATGTCCTGTATGTGAAAATATCAAAATTTTAGCCTGGGGTAGAGAAAATTTGGGTTGGGCAGGGGGGCTTCACTTCACCATAATGTTAAATGAAGGGTTTCAGCATATTTGTATCTGTTTGGTTTTTTTTATTTAGTTTTTTAGGTTACATCAATTTGATATACTGTATGTGAAAATATTAAAAAATAAATAAAAAAATTGATGTGAATTTCATCATTATTGCAAAGCAAATCCCTCCCCTGCCACATCCTAACAACACATTCAAATAAACTGAAAGAAATTAATGAAAAAAGATGGTCAGATGCGATCCCATTGTAGATGTTGTCTCGGTGGTAATAAGTAAAGTTAATGTTTTTTATAGAGTGTCGATCTGCCCAAACACTCGAATACATAAACTGTGTCTTCAGTAACAGAGCCCTGTGAAACGCGCAACGGCACGTGCCTATCGAGGACCATCGGAACTTTCCATTAACGATTTTTCTCGTTTACGTATAAAGCCGACGGTTCTAAATCGCGGAGCATGACCGTATCCTTAAAGCCCCGTTATATAAAAAGTTACAACGTGTATTCCGCACATTACATAACAGCGGTGATGATGTGTCATCAGATTGGTATAATCCCCTTAAGGGGAGTGTATCACGTCATGTTACAGCTCAAACTAATTTCAGACGAGATCGCCAGGGGGCGCTGAGCCTTTGTTATGCGACTTACATTGATATATATATGTACAGAATATATATAAAGCAATCGCCCTCTGGTGGTGAGGCATGTGCCGTTTACTAAGACGCTCTGGTCAACATGTTTTATAAAATAGATGTTAAAAATGTCCCGTTTTGACACAAATTGTCATTATAGTGCTAGTTTATAGGGGCGTGTGTAATCGATTGCCTTATAAGGGCATCACTTGAGTGTCCCAAAAGTCAGGGTTGGTCACATAGGAATTATGAGGGCGACTAAAAATGAAATATTTAGACAATCAGTAAATTTCACAAGATTATCTTGACTTTTTTTATATCAAAACAAAGTAAATACAATTCTGTTTCATGTTTAAAAAAAAGAGCATATTGAACGTTTTTTTCAATAAAAGCATATTGAAATCTTATTAATCATCTAAAATACAAGTCGAAAATATATGCCAGCCTTGATTGTTATCGGAGCGAGAGTACGAACAAGGCTATTTCCATTTATCAAGATTCCTCAGTTTCTTGCTCCAAATGGGGTTTTTTTATGCCGAGACATTGGAAAGAGCCATTGTTTTCTGAACGAAGTCAACTGTCAGAATTATATCGAGACATTTCGTCCAATTTATACTCTAAAACTTCAAGCAGTCAGAGGGACTGGTAATATGTTTAAGCATTCCGCTCCTTAGCTGATGTAGAGTGTCGATCTGCCCAAACACTCGAATACATAAAATGTGTCATCAGTAAGAGAGCCCTGTGAAACGCGCAACGGCACGTGCCTATCGAGGACCATCGGAACTTTCCATTAGCGATTTTTCTCGTGAACTGATGAATCACATTCCGAATTGTTTGCAAATATATCTTGTAAACTCAAGGTGTTGAATAAGAGTAACGTATATAATTAAATAAACTGTCCCTCGCAAGGTTATATTTAGCAGATAGTCCCCTGTAGAGGGCGCTTATGTGCTCTTTCTATCTACAAGCTATATTTGTTATCGGTTTCCGCTAACTAAATAACCCCTTTAACTAAACTAGGTATTGCTAGTGTCATATTGAGTCTCGTTTGAGAATATAAATCTTCTGTAAAAATTATTTGATTTCTGCAGGGAATTACCCGCTCAAATACTAATTTTTGAAGGATATCTAGTCATAGTTCCCAAAATAAAGTACACACGAAATGTTAGTGATTTACATAACTTCCGGTCGTATGGTTAACCATACACTATCTCCTATTAATTCTGGCTATTTACAGTATGAAGTTGTATTTAATGTGTCTACAATTTTGAAAAAATATTTTTTCCAATCACCAATGTAATCATAAATGAAGGGGTACCAGATTTTGATAGATTGTTGTAAACGTCCCTGAATTGCAGGTTACAACTGCATGGTTTTGTTAGGAATAAACAAAACAAAATTACAGTTTCCCCTGCGATGTGATGTTGACCTGATAACACATTTCCGTAGGCTATTTATCACCAACTGAAATCTCTGATTTGTTTCCAACAAGAACAGACCGGTGGTGTGATCAGGTAAGCAACCACAATGGAAATGAAAACAAAGAAAACTCGTATGTATATGCATTGTTTATTACAAATAGATGTACATCTTCGGCACATGTGTCCTACATTTGGCTGTCCTGCTGAAACCCCGTTGTATCGCCACCCCCGTTTTACCGTCAAAATTGGCACGGGACAAAAGGTGGCGGTATAACGGGGGACTATTGTATATGAATAATTGATGCTTTGACAGACTCGGAAACAAAGAATTGTATGCTCAACAAGGCGTTCTATGGACGGTAGTAAATCGTTTCGAAAGGCGTTACTACCGTCAACGAGCGACGTGTATCTTTTAGAACAGGTGGGGATATGCCGCATGCCTTCAAGGAAAATAGCTGTACACATTTTTTTCAATCTTGCACCCTTTACTGTACTTCTTTTAATCTATGTTTTACATTGCACATATGATGAGAAAACTTGTAACATATTGACCCTGGTAGATATTTAAAGGTGCATTCTGGAACGACAAAGTGTGAAAGAGTTCCAAAACAACTTAAGGAAAAGAGAGGAAAAATTTTGACGTGTCATAGTGCATATTTTTTCAAGTTATGTCTTCTAAAAGTATGTTATAGAATGCATCTTTTTCGTGAAACAGCCACCATTAAAACCAAAACATGTTAATTTAATGACTTCTTTTTAAAAAAATCGTTTCAGAAGTTTTTGATGTTGTCCGTGAGTAAGTATGAGTTATGTTTCACAGGTGAGAAACAGTGTGATGCATTCTTGTAATGTGTATCGCCTGTTCCTGTGGCCTATTACAAATGAGACCCTTGAAAAACCTCATAACTCCTCCGCCACCTTTCCCCCCGAGGCTGGACAGACACCTCACACACCTGAGCTATAAGATGAAGTGTTCGGACACTAGTAGGAGGTGATGATTCGACAGTCCCGTTCACACAACCAACATGGCCGCTGGAGTGTGCTCGACAATTTGTGCGGTTCTGTCGACATTGCTCATGGTTTTCCAATACCCCGGTGGAGTTGAAGCACATGGAAGTATGGTCGAACCTCCTCAGAGATCTGTGATGTGGGCGTATGGGTTTAACACCCCTAAAAACTACAACTATAACGGCTTAAACTGTGGCGGGTTTACGGTAAGTTTTATCAATTGATGCAGCAAGTTGCATTCTACAAATATTATATACACTTTCATGTGACGCTTTGTTAGTGCGACATTTTGGTGGAGCTAATGTGAACAGTGTCATATAAAATTTGATATACTAGCAAAAACACTAGAAACTATTAAATATTGTAACGGAGTAGTAAAATAATTACTAAAAATTGAAAAAAAGATTGGCCATTTTACGACCCCTCACCGATAAACATTATTTTTTTGCGTGAATATACCTTTAGGTCAGACTTTCTAGAATTGCTCTATTTTAATAAGATCCGTTGACCACTTGCAAATGGGGCCAAAGCAGGAGGTAGGAAATGACATATTTTTTTCGTTTTTATGTTCCAATATTTTCAGTATTCATTTAAAACATATTATTTACGTCAACATTATTGTTAAGATATGTTTTCAGAATATCAAAAACAATCAAATCAAATCAAAACAAGAAGAATTTGCTTTTAATTCCATTTCATTTCAACAAATTTATTTCATTTAGAAAAAGGATTGAACAACAGGCATAGCCTATATTAGTTCTCTCCTAAAGGTAACAATGGGTGTGTAAATATATATATATATATATATATATAATATAGTATGTTGTTATTTTGAAATTTCAAAGTTGATTATTTTAAGTATGAAACATAAAATGTTTAAATATGATATATGAGTTTGGAGGTAAGGAAAAAAATTAAGAGTTGTTATGATATGTGAAATAGTGTATTCACTAAATTCACCTTGTGCTATCCCTGTTAGCACACAGAAGGTCACCTTGTGCTATCCCTGTTAACACACACAAGGTCGCCTAGTGCTATCTCTGTTAGCAACACAGAAGGTCACCTTGTGCTATCCCTGTTAACACACAGAAGGTCGCCTTGTGCTATCCCTGTTAGCACACAGAAGGTCACCTTGTGCTATCCCCGTTAACACTCAAATGGTCACCTTGTGCTATCTCTGTTAGCACACAGAAGGTCACCTTGTGCTATCCCTGTTAACACACACAAGGTCGTCTAGTGCTATCCCTCTTAACACCAAGAAGGTCACCTTGTGCTATCCCTGTTTACACCCAAGGGTCACCTTGTGTTATCCCTGTTAACACCCAGAATGGATATATATACATACTACGTCCCATAGTATTCCTTTGTTCTGACAGAAAAGCATGGGGTTGTAGTTGACCAAAAACATCTCTAGCTGTTGGTCATTTGAATTTACGGTTGTCCTTTTCACAAAAGACTGTCATTAATGAAAACTGAAAAAAATATTAATGAATGACTCGGGTGCTATTTGACCTGACAATCTCCCCTATTGCTTTATGCATGTATACATGCAAAGTGCCTCTTGTCCCTGATACTTTCGCTACATCGTATAATAACTGTATATTCAAATAATTGAAACGTAAAATAGCAATCATCATCTGTATTTGAAATTAGTCACTATGGCCAACGCTTTTGTTGACCCAAATTTTTCAATGATATTTCTTCAATTGATCATCATTCTAAGATTTGTTCATAAAAATGTATTTATCTATACAAAGAGTATAAAGTTGTCGACCTTAGATCGGAAAAAGCAATGCCTGTATGCCTGAACCAAGGTTGCAGCATCGGTGGGGGTCGTAAAACGGCAGAATGTGTCACCCATCCTTTTGTCTTGAATAACGTTTCATAAAACATAAAAATGCATGACGCACTTACGTTATTCACATTATTGTTGCAAATTTCATTGTTTTTGATGATGTTGCATAATCGTTTTAACAATGCACTCCTTGTTTTCCCAGACCCAGTGGTTTTATAATGGCGGCAAATGTGGATTATGTGGGGATAGCTACCGTGGTGAACTGGTGAACGAAGATGGCGGCCTCTTTGCTACAGGAACCATCGCGAAGTCATATCTCCAACACTCTACGATTGAGGTCAAAGTTCATCTTTCGGCAAATCATGGTGGATGGTTTGAGTTTAGGTTGTGCGCGCGCAACAGTAGATACGACCATCTCACTAAAGAATGCCTTGATCGTCATCTTCTTCTTTCACCGGACGGTGAAACAAGATATTACCCAGGATTCTCATTGAGCAATCATGTGATTTTGCTTCAACTTCCGGTTGGAGTGTCGTGTGACCATTGTGTGTTACAATGGAAATACAACTCTGGTATGTATCTTTTCAAAGGAGCTTTTGTATGATAAAACGAAAACATAAAATGACTCAGTGACTGCTTTTTATAGCCTATTTCAATATCAACAAAATGAAAACCAGTCACAAATATTTCAATATGGGTTCATTGTGATGCAATTAACTTGTCAATTTGAGGGAGGAATGGGATGGCGTTCCCGTTTCAGAAATATGAAAATGTGGCATCACAACTTTTTGTTTTGAGTTCAAAGACATATACAGCCAGGATACTGAACAATGGATTAGATACAAGTTATCATATACCTTCAAGTGATAAAGTAAGCAAATTGAGAATATTAAAACAAAATATTGAACTCTTAATATAGTAATTTCTTCCATATCTCTCTTGTGACGACAGTTTCATTGGTCAATCGCATTTCAAATCATAAAACAATCGCGTATAATAATTAAATGCGATTGTAAAATGCCCTAGCTGATTACGGTGGGAAAGCGTGTTGACATATCTTCAATATTATTCATCATAATATATTCACCATAATTTATCGATTATATTCCGCTACATCAAAACAATAAGCATTTCGCATTTATCCCCTACAGATGACCCAAACTGTTAGGATGTCACACCGCACATTCTATAAGATATATTAAAGATCGTCTTGTACATTTTGATAGATGACTATAGTTACAAATATCATATTTAAAAATCAGTCATATATTCTCCCCAACGTACAAATACACATTAATGAACCCATTGCATCTGTTGAAACAAAAACAACCATGCTCTACGATTTGCATATTTGGTTGGTCGTTGTTGTGGTTGTTGTTGTTGTTGTTGTTGTTACTGTTGTTGTAAGTTAACGGCTTGTCGAAGGCTATGGCCAATTAGAGCCAGCATTATATTTTAAAATTATCAGCGTCATAGGCTGCTTTTAATTGTCATTCATATTATTCCTACAATAATATCGAGAGCAATCATATTTCGATATTTTTAGATGCAAAATGTTACAAATGGCGCAATGAAGTGCTGCTTTTTTTTGTCATTCCAGGAAATAGTTGGGGTTGTGATCAGTCTTTCCGGTGTTGCATTGGATGCGGTGCCCAGGAACAGTTCTATAACTGTGCAGACGTAGAAATACTCCCTACTTCCATTACAACGACAAAGCCGTATGCTTCGACTGAAGAAGACAAAATGACAACACCGATAGTGAGTTCAAATGAACGAGCAAAACCAGAATATATGTCTGACGTGACAAAATTTTCGAAAATAAAATACGAACTTATCACAAAACCGGATGTTAAGTTTGTAGACACGACAACTCTTGGCTGGATCAGACCAAAACATACGACATTGAAAAAAATAGTTTATACTGACAAAAACGAAGAATTGCTGACGAAAATGGGAATAGTTGAAATCACTGATATGGCAAACAATGCCATACAAATCAGGCCAACGGACTACACTGACCGAAATACTTTTCGTACAAGGAAGACGACAGTAAAATCTCCCTACAAACAAAGGATGGCTCGGTGTTTGGGGAGGGGTGTGTGGAAGGCTGTAGAAGGGATGGACAAGTGGTGTGAACAAAACTGTACCCTTGGGACCTCTTCTCCGTCCAGCGGTTGTAGTTCCCACTGTGTGTGCAAATAGAATTTGGTTCCTGGAGAGTAACTAACGAAACACCCTATACAGTGCCATATTCGAATGCTTTATTACCGAAATATGCCTGAAGAATTCATACTATTTATCTTTGTAGCTATCAATAAAAAGACTTTAAGTAAAGTTTTTTTTTATCCGCAATACATTACTCTGCATTGCTTGTCCATCAAGTTCACTTGCAGATAAACTGATGGTACGTTAAAGTCAAGGATCCTTCAGACACTTCTGCATCAGCCTCTTACCATGATTTTTATACATGTCACACTTGATTCGATATTCAAGGAGTTGCTCCGAATAAAGTGATTTCTGTGATAGATTACGACTGCTGACGGATAAACTTACAATGCTGAAATTACTAGAATTACGAATCAAGGAAGCACCTTAGTCAAAATTTTATCGCTGAGAAACCCAAACAATGTATAAATCATACTGTATGGGATGACTATTTCGTCCATTCAGGACGGACCAGTGGTACTAAAGAATAAAAACGTATGTTTTAAGTGTTCCAAAACATATGTAGAAATACAGCGAAAGCGTAAGATACCTAAATAATTCTCTGAAGTGAGTTTAATGGTCGTTAGCATGATCTCTTTTGACTGATACAGTAAGTGTCGTCGGTGAAACCACAGATGCTCCCTTTTAGGAAAACCTGATCACTTATTCCGATTGATATACGTTCGCCTTAGCTTCATCGATGTTCAGTTCGCATTACAGTTTCGTACACATTTCGATATTCTCTCTCGATCAACATCATGGAACACTAAAGTAGAAAAGTGTCAACCTATCTTTGGCCAAAATAACAGCGAAAAATGTTCGGAAGTATATTACTGCTGTATTTAGAACCATGCCATCTGTAATTGGTGTTGTAAAAAGACGGGAGACTTCATGTGAAAGAACTGTACTTTCATTAAAAAGAAATAAAGTGTAAAGTGCAATTAATATTTGTAAGAGAGGAAAACAATTAATAAAATACCAAAGAAGCAAAAACATTATATAGTTATCCATATTCACTTTTCAAACTAGGGTATCTAAAACATTTCGAAGAAAAAACCGCGACAAATGTATCTCATTTTTATGTTAAAATCAATTCCTTCACGAAAAACATTTTCTTGAAGAATTTCGAAGACAGAGAGAACTATACTAAGATTTTACTGATATCTCTTGAAAAACCTTAATTTATGTACATTAAAGATTTCCCGGACGATAAATATTACTCTCAATCATTACATATTATGAATCTTTCTCGATACATTTGGTGTGAAACATCCATTTCTATTTTTTAAAGCATTCAAGTAATGTCTAAGGAGCATGATAAATAAAAACCACATGGCTAACCATATAACTTTTCGAACTAAGATTCTTGAACGTATGACTCCTTCCGAAAAAAAAAAATCCTAAAACTTAACAGAGACGGAAACCATTAATATTTTAATGTTATCAAACCAATTAAGCATTTAAGATGATTTATAAAACAAACATGTCACGTAATTTGTGTTCGTTGAACATTAAAAAAAGAGTAAATTATCAGAAAACTATCCAGAAGCATAAAATACAATGAAAGAAAGGAAAACGTCGAATGTCTTTCATTTCACTGTCGGAGAGTTTACAAAATAAAACTGAAATATTGAACGAAATTACTTGTATTACTATATTATGGACGGACAATCCTTATCATGGGGTTCAACAACAAATGACCTGATACCTACTTCACTTTTCCCATTCCGCGCTACTTTTGTAGTACATGATCTAAATTGAGACTCGGGTGTCTACCCATTATGATGGAGACTGGTCGACATAATAAATGTTCCAATGACGTCCTTTTCGTACAAGCTAAATGAAGTTAGAGATACATTTCCATGTGACTGATCAAATAAAAGTAGCTTTACAACTGATTGATACATTATGGCTTCGAACTTAACTTCTATATATTTTATCATTAGCCAACATTATTTACCGATTAATGCACAGTCGTCATCTATTAACTTATAAATACATATTTTGTGACCAGCAATAATATCTGTGATTGTTGAACAAATAAAGGGCGTAACAATTAGCTCTTTAATTAATCAGTATTTGATTTAGAACGAATTCATTAAGTACAAATTAGAGGTAATTGAAGTCTAAAGAATGAACAATCATCTGTCAAAAATATTCGTAAACGTGTAAAATTCAGCGAGAAGGTTAAAGATGTCATTATAACCCTTTACAACATAACAAATTCACAATTTCTGGCTGTAACAGTTTATACTTAAGCAAGTAGTTATAATTAACCCGCCAGATAAAAATCTAGCTACAAGGCTACAGCCAACATCAGGGCTGAACGTCCACCAGCAGGATCAGCCACCCTTCAGGTTATCTTATTACTAGAAATACACAGAAATGAAGTACATATTTGATAAATGTTTTTTTGTATTTAAAGAAAACCCAACAAAGTAAACATGTTACTGTATGTAACGCCATTCCGTATATAAGACCCATAACAATTTTACAGGTTAATATTGTCTAATGTTAATGCTATCGTATATCTATCTTTGGACTTGGAGGTTGTGTTTCTAATTCATTGTTCTCTAGTTGGGGAATGTGTTATATGTAGGACGAGACTAAAAGTTCTCAGGGGAAACATAGGTGATGAAATATATGTACTGCTCAAATACGCGTGGTAGACCAAATTAAAAAGCCAAGTCCTAGCTAGCAGTTTTATAGGTTATAAATACATACAGACACTGAAAGAATATCAACCAAACTGGACACATGTCCTGGGCCACTGGACAACTGCCAGAACCACAACAAGAAGTAACTAGCTTTACTTATTCCATTGAAATGCAATAACTTTTCCTATATAAAAACATTGATGGGAAGCNGGGGGGGGGGGGGGGGGGGGTGGGTGTGATAAAATATACAGGCTGAATATCAAAGGATTGAAAACGGGACAGGAAGCACAAGGACCATTGTTTGTGACTAACAGTTTATCTAGAGCAAATGATAAACATCGGTTTGTCAAGGGGCGGTCAGTTGGCTAGCACTTTAGATTAAACACTGTAGATCAGTAAAACTTCCCATTTCAATAGCAAAATATGCTATATAATATAGGGCATGGTCAGCTTAGCCCATCGATAGTTGCGAAATATCTGGAAAAAACACAAATTTGTTTATTTTATCCTGTGTATCCTTGTTTAAATTTTTCCTGACTGTGTGCCATTATTTTGAATCTTCATACTAGGGGTTCAATATTTATTTTGAATTTCGTTTTTTTTTAACATATTAGACGAACATTTTTGCGTTAAGTTGTCGTTAAGCTAACCATGCTCTCAGCAAATAGACCCCAGAATTTTTTCGTACGAATTTCTATAACAAGTCACTTCCACCAACAAATGTATCGAGGATAGGACAAGAGTGACAAAGGATTGGACGATGTTTAAACTTAAAGAATGGATAAAGCCATATAAATTCTTAATGTCACGAGTTTTCATGGCTAATTTACATTATTTTGTGAGGGGGGACTATTGTGTAAATCTTTAGAAGTGGATGTAAAAAGGGATTAGATGCATATTAGGACTTGTTTAAAAGCTAAACGTCTTACTTTTATCGTAAATTTCTCTCTTTATATATCTACAAATGTATTCGCAGCGAAATAAAAAAAAAATCGTTTTCTTTATAACACAATGTGCTTTCACATGATAACGCACCTTGTTCCTTTTAACTTTCTGGCGGTTAGCAGTGCAACCAGGTGTTATCACACAAATGGCCCTTATTGAAAGTTTTTTTATGACCTATTACTTCATCTCGATCTTGATATGTCATATAGTTCGTTCCTTATTTTCTAGCTGGGATGATATAAAATTATCAATTGCCTTTTCTCCCAAAACTATAAGCATTAACGGCCCATATTCCTTGTATTGCGTGCCTGTTTGTTTGTTATATACTATACAATGTGAAGAAATGGTTCAAACATTTTCTTCAAATTGGTAGATATGTAATATATATACAGATTCTTATAGCACAAGTAAAACATTTCTATGTGACGCTTTGATGAACTCTGTTACCCTCATCAAATTAATGACCAGTAAACGTATGTAAATTACGGCATTATAAATAGACAAACAAATAGACAAGTCGATTCGACTACGCTTTTAGCGTATGTCACTATAGTGTTAGCAATGTACGAAATTACAAAAGAATCGACTAATCGTTTCGGGTAAGCTTTTGTTTATACCCACTGGGGCAACGCCCTTGTTCAACAAATGGTTTTTTTTCAATGCTTCTTCAAAAGAGTCCATTCAAATGAATATAACCTTTATTTATTTTACAACAATTATGGAACAAGCTATTTCAATGATTTAATTTTCTCACTGATACTTTAGAACAAATTTGGTTGAAATGCGATCAGCCGTGCTGGGGAGTATATTTTAAGGTTGACAGTTGATTATCACACAGCCCTACTAAAATTAAAATAGCCTCTTGCTAGTCTACTGATCTTGAGAGGAGATGGATTTCGCCACTCTGAACAAGAGCACCGCGAGCGGAAGCTATAGATGATATAGATGTGTTTACTGCCACCGTTTTTTTTGGTGGCTGTGACCTTGCCATTCATTTACTGTGTTTATGGGGCAAGCTATTTTGTGTTTCAGAACTACACTTTCATGGTCAATGTTGCTATTACTAAAACTAGAACCTTGGCTTTGAGGTAGGAGTCTTGGTATGAGAAGTTGGAACGCGACAACAAAACCTGTGATATATGTTAAACATATTTGGGTTTTGTATTACCATACTAAATTTGAAAGGAATTAAACAAATAATTAAAAAGTTTTATTTTCACCATTTTCAACGAAATGAAGACGGGGCATAACTCTGCCAAATAGCGTTTAGATGTCGGGATTTAAGAACTCATCCAAAGCATTCAGGAAATGAAACAACCAAGTAGATTAAATTAAAGGGGCAAAACTCCACCAAAAATGCATGTAAACTTCTGAAATGCGAACTCATTCGAGCGATATTGGAATGCAATATGTGTACCAATTTTCATTAAAATATGTTCATTAATGAAGGCAAGAGAGCGATGAAAAGGAAAAAAGTTTACGGACGGACGGACGGACGGACGGACGGACAACGCAGCTCATACCAGTATACGACCCGTCGGACGTCGGGCCGCGTATAAAAAGTCCTATACCTATTCACAGTTGAAACAAAAATAATAAAATATGAAAAACTCGCAGATTTAAACATAAATACCTTTGCTTTTTGCTCGAATTTCGCAATACACAATCATATTCCGCAGACATTTGTTTTCATACAAACATATATATGTCACAGCCCTTATAAAATTAATACTTCCTCGACACTCGAAGACTTCTGCTCACTTTCGCTCTCTGCACCCCTGATGTATGTCGTAGCAAAATTGAAGGCGAACGGCTAGTTATTTGATGATTCTCGGGTAAAATAACTGACCAGTCGATAGCATGATAGCTGTCTTTTGAAAATAACAGAGGAGCGACACCCGATCTCAAAGCCAGTCCGAGCCTTAGATTTTGCTATAACATACTTCAGGGGTTCAGAGAGCGAAAGTGAGCGTAACCCCAGGAGTGTCAAGGATGGAATAAAGGTAGAGTGGGGAGGTAGGGGGCTAAGCCTCTATCTTTCTTATATTCTTTAAGTGGAAAGGTAACAAAATACATAACACTTATATTGTAGCGAGAACATGTTTTATATTACCCATTAATTAAGTATAAATCAAATCCAGATTGAGCCGACGTTTCATAGATCGTCCAAATCTTATTTGAAAGGACAATAATTCCTAAGAATCTACATCCTTTTGGGGCATGTTACCTTTGAGGCCATCTTCTCGCTAACATACACAACCCTCTTTACTAGAGCAAATCCAGCAAATTTGTGTACTACAAATTATGGATCTTTTTTGAAAGATCTTATTAATCTGCACCTTATAAATCTTCTTTGTGAGATTTTTACGGTAAAAT